GAGAGAGAGAGAGAGAGAGAGTGTGTGTGTGTGTGTGTGTATGTATGTGAGTGTGTGTTTGTGTGTGTGAGTGATGAAAAGATGTGACTGTAGATGAGCTTTCCCATTGTGAACAAAGGAATGCGAAATGAGGCACGTATTTTTCGAAGTATTAAAACGCACACAGTTAACAATACCTAGATTTATATTTCCAGTATTACTTCGGAGCAGTTACAAGAACATGTCGTCATTTGGATGCTTTTTAATACGTGTAGAAATGTACTACCAACTGTCAGAAGTGCAGTTTGACGATGTCTGTAATAAACTGGTAAAACAGTAACTCCTAGAACCGTCTCTATTTCTTGTCTGACCTTTTATGTTTTATCCTTTACAGGTCTACAAACTATCAAAAATACCTAAGAAACCTGTGCTAAGCTGTCTCATGATTTGACCTCCAGCAAACCACGCTTTGGACGTAGTAAACTGCGGTGCGCGAGAGCTTAGTACAATGTATCGGAGTAAAAGAAAAGATCGCACAATGTTCCTAGCCAATTATCTCATTACAAAAACACCTTTTCACTAAATGGCTCGTCACAACCAATCAATAATGCATTTTCCTTCTTTCATTAGGCTTATCAATTTCGAAATGTACTTGTATTTTTTAAAGAATGAAACAGTTTTTTCTCTCTCCTGAAAAATGTTGGTTTTGATTTAGGGCTTGTGACTTTGTATCAAGAGGCCGACAATTTGTTTTAATGTAATATGTTTCATTGATGCCTATTTGTCTTCTCTCTTTTTTATTTTGTTCTTTAGTGTTAGGTCCACATTAATGTTACAATACTTCCATATATAAGGGTAGTTCTTGCTTACGATCTTTCTACAATACCGTTTCAAAATATTAATGGTTTTGATTCCATTATCATATTTTTCAACTACATTCCCCATAATATTAATAATAATAGCAATAATAATAATAATAATAATAATAATAATAATAATAATAATAATAATAATAATAATAATAATAATAACAATAATAATAATAATAAAAATAATAAAACGCTACAAAGAGGCATTCGGTGTACATGTGAGAAAGAGAAAAAGACAGACAGACAGACAGACAGACAGACAGACAGACAGACAAACAGACAGACAGACAGACAGACAGACAGACAGATAGACAGACAGACAGACAGACAGACAGACAGACAGACAGACAGACAGACAGACGGACAGAGGGAAAATGGATGTACGTGTGTAAGGGGGTACATTGGTGTGCACTTTCGAGCTTTGCGCATTTGCAATATTACTGTTTCGGCGGTTTTCGGGGGGGGGGGGGGGGGGGGGTTGACTCCCGTTGACAGTACAAAACGACCAAATGAAATACATCTGTAAAAATTACAAACTGCGCTTTCAGTTCAATTTAAATATTGTCTATTTTTTCTTTTCTATCACCTTTTGAGTGTGGAGGTCTTTTATTCTTGAACAAATAGACACACAAAAATAAACAATATTTTAATTGTTCGTCTTCATTGTCATTGCAAGTAGCAATAATACATACATGTCATCAACATTGCCTTTCCCCCTGCATCAGGGTATAGGCCACCAACAAACACTTTCGACTTTTCCATTTCCTAGGCTGGACTTTTGGTATTGTTCTACATCTTCCCACTTTCTGTACAGCATTCTCTGTGACTCTCCTCCAGCTAATACATAGATGTGAGAAGTTATCTTTGTATCAGTGATGTGGTTTGATAACGCAGGGTGAAGTCAGCGTCTTCTACTTCTTCTAGGCATCACCACCGTTCTTATCTGTCCATAGATAAATGTGACCGTAACTGTCTATTCGTCGGCAACAGATCAAAATGTTTCCCCGAAAACATGTATGTGTATGACGCCGCTCTTTGTAAATTGGACATAGTAGTATTTCTTCACTGGAACTGCAGCAAAATCACTGCATAAGTCAGGATCAAGCTGAAGATCTGTGGATATAAAAAATGAAAAAAGTGTGCCAAAAGTACAACAACAAGTCGACTGCACGATGATTCATTTCGTAAAATTTCCAACAAGTTTGAATTCAAATGTTAGCTTATGGATACACTCCCTAAATAAAAGGCAGGTTAACATATTTTTTACAGCTCAACTTAAAATAATGATTTATTATCCCAGTGTGTCTAAATAAAGAAAACCTAAGCACTGGAAGCATAAAGTCACTAGTCTTATCACATCTCTTCTATTCATAACAGCATTATAAGAAATTTTAAGATGTTTGTGTTATTATTTTGGCAATGGGGAGAAAAGAGGGGGGGGGGGGGGGCGCTGCGACAATCATTTCCATCTTTGTTCTGCTCCTGAACACGATTTCGATTTCGATATCATAATTTGAAATGAATTCTTTATGAAACAATAATTCAAAGTTCTTAAACGTTGCCTTGTTCTTTCTTCAAAAGAAGTGGAGTAAGTATAAGCAATAAAGGAATCGTGCGTATTCCGTTTTCCAGTGTCTTCACGAACAACTAAACACAATTAAAACACCAGTGCCTGTGGTGTTGTGGTTAGGCGTTTCGTTATCGCACACATGAGACCCGAGTTTGATTCCCGAGTGGGGAGAGAAGTAATGGGTATCGGCATTCGAATTTCAAACGCTGAAATGGCTAAACCACTTGATCCTCTGCTGTTCGATGCTGTTCCCACCATGTCTCTGATTACCTCTCAATTCGAATCATGGAAATAATGACAAGAAAGAGAAGGGGAATAATAACGAAAAGCGCTCACCATCCACCCTACACACACCCATAAACCGTACGTACCGTTAGCATGAACTCCTTGGTCACTGTCACCATGCCCAGTACTGTAAACCCCATGCTGGGTCCGTTCAACTTGGCAAGGAATAATTGCAGCTAGGGATATGAATGTATGCACAAAACTATGATCAGTCAGAATAAGGTGAGCATGTAAATATTTAACTGAGATGTTAGAAATAAGAATAATATTATCCGTTTTCTCTCGACCTTTATGCCTCTATAACGTCATAACAATTATCCTAAACCCCAGCAAATTCATCTTATCTAATCAAAATATACGTATTGCATGGAGCCTTCGTTTTTACTCAGTGTAGGGTTTTATTTTATACACAGGTTAAATAGGAGGGGACTTATACTTATAGGGAGGTTTGTGAAGCTAAAAATTTGATTTGATGACAATATTGGCTGTGTACAAATTATTGTTGAATAGCCTCCCGTATGCTGAGAGTTAAAAAATAATTAATGAAGTACTTTGCTGAAGAAGTATAAGAGTTTCATAACGGTATTTTTAAAGCCACCATGACTAAGTCAAATGGACAAAAGACAAATAGAAAAGTCATATTTCTATTAATTTTTATCCCGCTCTCTCGCCCTCTCCCCCCTCTCTCTCTCTCT